TGAAAAGAGCCTAACCTTAAAAAAAGAATGCGGCCATTGCTGTGTCTAATCCGCAGAAACGACAAGCAATAATTGTATAAGAATTTACGATCGATGCAAAAAAAAAAAAATATGAAAAATAGAATGTGTATTAGAAAGGCAAAATTTGCGGGATTTTATTTTTTAGAAAAATATAAAAATTCGATCTATGTAAAAGATATCGAAGATCGTCTTTGCATCGTGTGTGTCCGCGGAAACGCGTTAAATTTTACGGGAACCCGCGTGCTGATATTCGATGTGCACATCGCGTATTTACACGCAGTCACACGCAATAACACGCGATTATGTCTATCACGACTGTATTGGCGTTCTTACAGACTCGCAGAAGCGCATGATGTTGACGTGGAAAGCGCCGGTGTTTAATGGCCACACCAGACTGAGGGGCTAATTGTTTGATCGAATGCGATTACGTTCCCGCGGAAATGTTTCCCGCGGATGTTTGCAACGTTAACGATATATCGTTGTCGGATTAAAATCCACGAAAAGCCGAAATACTCTATGCTCGTACAGGTCTCATATATTCGCGGCTCTTTGTTTGCAACCACTTTCCACAATCGTTAATCTAAACTGCGCTTATTCATGTGTAAAACATGTAAAATCTATAAAAAAACATGTAGGGTAATAAAATAATGAATATAAAAAAAGAGAGTGTCTTTTTGATGTTTTAAGTTATAATTTTTGTTTTTAAATGCAGCGGTTTTATGGTTAATAAAAACATGATCAACTAGATGAGAGTTATATTGGACAAAGGTTTGCAGTATATCGATTGTTGCTGACCCGGTAGAATAATGTATATCGAAGAAAGTATATCTACAGTTCTCAATCCTAAATTAATGTTTTGCGAGAAAGTAGGAGACAAAGTGAGAAATGTTTAATAAGATATAATATGAGATTCATATTGTGTGTGTGTGTGTGTGTGTGTGATTCAATACTATATGCTCTAGATTCTAGATAAATAACTCCTTAGCCAACGCTAATCCAATTGGGCTCTTAACATAATTAGTTTAGATAGCTATAAACTAAAAATAAAAATAAGAGGAAATTGAAATTGAAATTACCGTATAATTAAAAAGCCAGGTTATAAATTAAATTTTAATTATGTATTATTCTATCAATTATTTTCTTGAAACAAATTTATTGCTGTAAAAAAATTGTTCCGCATAACACATATTGAAATATGATTTAAAAATAATGTAAAATAGTTGATTGAAATCATTTGTTTAAAACTATTGATGCCACTTATTGGCAGTTGCAAGATAAAAAAATCGATAACTTTTTTAAAAATTGGGCTAAAAATAAAACAAATTAATTCAAGATGGAGCGATAAAAAGTTAAGAAATACCAAATATACATATAAGAGGAAAATTCGATTGTATAAAGAATTCTCCTGTCAAGAAGCGTGGAGTATTATTATTTCGTCCGTACTCGACGATTCTCATAACAGCCTATTAAACGATATCAAGTGTATTAGCGCAAACGAGCAATTTAGTCTTCCTCGCGCGATGGGATCGCGTCGCAGCGAGAAAATTCAGGATGCGCAATAGAAAAAGCAGTATCATATATAAAGTGTCGGAAGCCTATACAGAAATTTCGAGTGAAAAATTGTTCACGAATATTAAGACAAAATCTTCTTTTGTAAAATATATTCCGAAGAAATGTTCGTATTGCAATTTTTCTCTTTTTTTATATATTCGACATGAAATATTTTGATGATGAAGCTCCGAATTAAAAATTCTAAAGAGTTTAAAGTGTTTCATTTGCATCGCGGGCCATCCTGTATATGTAGTGAGCACCTCGAGACTGTTTCCTCGAAATATCGCAGACGTATAAACTCGTCGCGGCGACGCCGTCGCGTGGAAATAGAGAATAGAAGTAGATTTAGAAATAGAGCCGCCAGTCGTCGGCCTAGAATTTGATCGGACGTGGCTTAACCTGCGCCGGACGACATTGTTTCGGACAAGTTGGAACGTGCGCCGCTCTTTCGTTGCGATGCACTGGACAGCTCGCGATGAATAATAAATAGGAGATGCGAGACGGATCTAACGTAAGCTTCGACGGTATCGAGAAGCGTTTTCTCGAGAGTATCGTAGTAGTCTTAAAATAATTGACGGGCGTATGTACCGAGTTTCGCCGGGAGCAGAAATGCCGCGCCGATGAATAAGTCGTGTACGGAAATAGTCGCGTCGGAGGGTCCGATATTCACGACTACGAGGTGTCAATTTTAATTCCGCGGCGAAAATATATTTCGCTTTTTATTAACTTAATAATTTCAAGACTTCCGGAGTGCAATGCATGTTCTAGATTTTAATGAAATATATAATGCGATTTATTAAAAATTCGAAAATTATCAAATATATATTTTTTCGAAATTTCGTTGATAATTTCGAAAAAGAAGAACATACGTGCTTGCACTTGTGAGGCAGAAGTCTATTTCTTTACCGAAATAATAAATAACGATAATAAAAAAGGAGATCCGCTCCCTCCTCCTGAGCTATCACCCAGCTGACCTCGATGGGCTCATTAAGAATCGCCAAGAATTTAAAGGTATCTAATTAAACGATGAATAATGCACGATACATCGCGCGGTTAAAGGCACCCCTGGTACGGACGGCGGTGCTCGTACGGACCGAGTTACACTTCCTTGAATGCGGCATCCTGTCGCGCAAGTACTGTCCAACACGGTCGTTACGCGTCGTTCGTATCGGAGAGGACAGTACTTACGCTGCCGCGACTTCCTTCCTACGTAGAACGAGCGAGTAAATGCGTGCGCGTACTATCGTCTCGTCGCGTAGAAATCGCGCGCGCATGCACGCACGCACGCACGCTATCTATGTGCGTAGTGGTTTCATTCATAAAGTCACGCGTTTCGCGAGGAAACGCCTGCGCGCGCGCGTTAACGACAGGAACAGACGGCTTCGCCCGCTTTTTCTTACATACGTATACCCTCGCGAGAAGACGTTAATACGCGCCTTCGGAACGAACGCTCCGCGCCGACTTCCGGTTGGCTCGGATGCGCAGCGTCGGAGGATGCGCCGCCGGTAGCAATAAAAGCAGAGCCGTTAATGCGCCTCTCTCTCTCTTTCTCTCTCCCGCGCTCTATAAACCGTGGGATGGATTGCGCGATTCCGCATCCTCTTATTGTCATCAGTACCGCAATCGATTCACGACATCAAAATCTTATTTCTTCATAATTATCTCATACAAAATCATAAATGTCGCCTTTTTCAGCTGCAGCTGTTTTTTTTTTTTCAATAAAAAAAGATTAAATGCAACTTCTTTTCGTTATTCTCTGTGTATAAAAAGTACATAGATATTTTCTAGATGGTTTTCAGAATTTTTGCGCGACTAAATATCAAGAGATTTTCTCACTCTTGGAAAAACTAAGTTTTTCACTTAGATTCAAAGTAAGTTTTTGAATTGAATTGAAGAAAGTTTTTCATGAGATTCTTCGAAAAATGATTTGATTATGGAGTAAAAGATTATACAAGAGATCCAAGAAAGTCTTTAAATTTCAAAACTGCGAGTTTTTGATACATTTTGTAAACGCTTATCTATCACTTTTTATTATCATGTTTAATATGTCGTACAGGTTTTATTGAGAGAAATAACATTTTTTTAAATATTATTCTTCTAAATCAGAAATCCGATAGTTCTTGTGATCTTTAATGTTCAAAAACGTAGTAAAATTTCGTCAAGTGTATGCGCGGTCTTGAATCATACTTCTCAAAGTGCGGTGACCCTACAGGCTTGGGCGGAACTCCTTCGCTTCCGGTGCTGTTCCGCTGCTGCTATTTCTATATATAAACCCACACGCGCTTGTTAGTATAAAGTGCATACACGTGTATGGAAGCTTTGTATATGTGCGCGCTGCCGAATACCATCACAAAACGAGGGGACGACTTCGTTATATGAGAAGCTAATTTATAGGCCGCGCACTTTTGCTGAATGATTTTTCGTACGAATTACTTAATCCTTTCACGCAAAGCGATTTCATTAAAGAGAATAAGAGATATATATAAGAATATATACAATCATCATCTCGTAAAATGCTTACATTAACATTATATTGATAATAAATTAATTTGTATTTTGAAGGATCAAGGAATTTTTTTTCGTTCTTTACCATGTAGTATTTATATATAATTATTCGATGCATCGTTAATAAGAGCTACTCTGTCGAGTAAAACAAAATGAGATATTTATAGAAGTTGCGAAGGAATGCAGTAAAACCGCCAAAGTTTACTTGGCTATGCTATAAGATCTATGACAAGCCAAGAACAATAACGGGACTGATTCCCGGAGAATCTGGAAATAATTTTGGTTATGTGAATTTTTATTTTACAACAGTATAATATCATGTTAATAAGACGGTATTACTTCGTAGTAATAGAATCTCGGTCAGGCTCGTGGAAATCATCTGCGAGATATTTTTGCGAAAATAAGGATATATGTTTTTAAATATTTTTTATAATTAATTGATATTCCTGAAGTCTATGCTAAAATTGTTAATTCGCGGTATGATTTTTTGATAAATTTAAAAAAAATTTAGACAAAACTGAGAGATCATAATTAATAGTATTATTTAATTTAGATTAAACAGATTCATATTTTTACTTCTAATGATTTAATTATTCTCGTTTGTAATTTGAATATTTATAAAGTAATATTAAATAATCTAATAATAGTCTAATAATATAATAATAATTTTAAGAGTTTTATTTATAACAGTTTAAAAAATAATTTTTGAAATGTATCAAAAACATCTTTCAGATGTATATAGTATTTAGAGATTTAGTATTTAATAAAAAAAAAATGATTTATTTGCAGAAATTGCTTTATATTGTCATCATAATTATATTAATTTATAATTTTGATCGCAGACAATAATCTAGAATAGGCAATAATAATGATCTTAGTTTTAATATGAAACGGATTATGTACTGAAGCAATGTTGTACTTACATTATACTGTCTGATTTTTCCGAGTCGTCGTGAAAAAATCGTTTATCCCGTATTGTCGTTGATTTTATTATTCTTGATGCATTAGATTAATAGCGATTTAACGTCGGATATCAATGTACAATTGATGGTTTCTTACAACTTCCGGTACTGACTGTGGAGATCGAAGATTGCTTTTTGTGGAAAGTTTGTTGGTAAGTGTGAATTGGAATCAAAAGATCATACTATACATTTTCGCGACAAGTTAATCGTTTGAGACTTTTAATTGTACCAGAATTCAACTCAAATCCCTGATAATTTTTATTTTTTTTATGAACAAGGTTTGCTATTTATATCGATGATTTTATTGAAAAATTATTCTTAGCTTTTGTTGAGATGTTACAGCGAAATTTAATGAAGAAAGGCAATTTCTTTGATAAATTTTGCAAGTTTTCAACAAATTAATTCTCATCCATTGTAATATATTTACGATTTGAAAACCAGATTTATATATAAATGTAAAGGATATTTTATTGAAAAAATATATTTTTATAAATTGTCTAAATTAATTTTTTTTTATAGTGAAGAATATGATGTTTTTTTAGAATGATGTAAACACGTGTTTTTGAAAAGGATAAAAAATGCAATAACGAGCGTCATAAAATAGATTAGTATGAAATGTAGCGAGAGATTGCGTAATAATCAAGTCTGCGTTGATATGTTGGATGAACGAAGAATGAACGAAGTTAGACGAAACGTGAATGAGAAGGGAAAGGACAATGTCCTAGGGTAGATGCCTAATGCTTGCGAGAACCGAGTTTCGTTTTAGAACGCACCCTTGCGTATCGACGCGCAGCGAACCACGATTCTGCTAGTTATTTCCTAAATCGACGTATCCGTATAGGCAGTGAATTTCTCGTACGACTTGAAATAAATTGTCAGGGAAATCCGGTGATATCGAATTAAATCGAAAATACTCGCGATTTGTTTTTCCACTTTGATGAATTCCAGTAATGAACGTTATATAGATTACAATTGGATCGAATTAAAATTCGCGTTCACTACGTTTAGTCCAGGTTGATTTTCGTCTTCTCGCGTGATTCAGCGCAACGTCATCACGACGTAGGGCAAACGACGAAACATGGACCACATTTAGCACTAAATAACAGCGCGTCGAATAAAGATCTCACCAAAATGTTGTGGTCGTAATAGAAACATGAAAGTCAATCGCGTCAATAAAATCGATAAGTAATTTAAGATACGCGCGCGTGCAACACAGATATAACAACAATAATAACAACACTGTCATCACCAAGCATCACAGCGACGGAGAGATGGAGATTGATGGACGGATAGAAAGACAGAAAGAGAAAAAAGAGATTCGTCATGGAATCGCGTTGCACGTGCGCCGTGCACCGGATAAATCGGCTGCGGCGCGCAGGGCAAAGTGTATTGTGAGACTGCTGGCGGGTGCAGCGCCGGTGTCCCGGCTTTCCTATGCAACGCACTGCACCCTGCCCCTCCCACCCTCCTGCCACTTTTCGCTCCTCTCTCTCTCTCTCTCCCTCTCTCTCTCTCTTTCTCGCCTCTGCTTCATCCCGTTTCTAGATCGTACGCGCATCGCCGACGTCCCAACCACGTGACCACCCTCTTTAGCTAGGCCGATTATTGCACCACTGACGACCATCCTCTCTCCTCTCTTTTCTTATTCTATTTTTTAAAATCTGTATTTTTCATTGTTATTTCTCCCCAAAATAAACTTGAATTTTTCCTTTTCCATTTTAATCGGTATTATATCTTCTGATTGTATCTTTAACTAATTATGTTCCACTGTATATTACTTCAAGGCTAATTTTTCTAAATAGAGAATAAAGAAAGAGAGAGAGAGAGAGAGAGAGAGATTTTATTTCTCTTTCTCGCGCACACCCCTCGCATTCCAAGCGCTCGCCGCGCGCGGACGCATCCGCATCTCCGCGTCCGTACTTTGTTCGCTGGAATTTTTCGTCCCCCTTCCTCTCTACGTGGTGGAGAGGAACGCGGTTCGTGTTCCTCTACGACGACCGGCCGCTTTCATCTTTATCCACTCGCTCCGTGAGCGAGCGCGACGGCAGATGCGCGCCCGCTTCTCCGCTGTGTTGCACCGCGCCAATGTACTTCTCTATATATCCCTCTCGTGAAAACGGACGTCGTCGTTCCACCGGAATGCCTCTCCTCTTTGTTTCTCTCACTCTCACCACCTCTGCCGGACTCTACCGACCACTGCGTCATTTCTGTTCGCCCTGTGTGCCGCTCGTTTCCTCTCTCCTTTCCCCCCGCCTCTTTCTTCTTTCGTTCTCAGCCTCGCACGGAACAGTGGCGGATTCACACATCACACATCACACTGCTTTAAGTACGTTAATTCGAGGCCACCCCTCCTTGAGACTCCCCGTACTTTCTTAGATCTATTCCTGTGCTTCTTTACTTTTATATTTAATGTAGGAAAAATACTGATAAATCGATAAGAAAATTTATGTAGTTGAAAAAAAATAGCCAACGAATCTAACAATTGCTGATCTTGCGAGTTCTTTGCTTTTAAAAAATCGCTCTATATAAAAATTCATTATTAAATTTTCAATCAGTATCAACTTGAACAATTATGCAGTTTTATCAAGTCTTTCATCATATATATACATATATAATCACCAAGTCCTAAAGTTATCGAAAACTACTATTCTCGCATCTCGGTTAGGTCAGAGCTAATCTGTCTTTTCCTGCCAATCTATTCCTAAATCCACCACTGTTCTCGAATTGGCATACCTTTCGCGGTCAGTGCGCCCTACCTACCTACTACTCCGGTACCTACCTACCGCGCGCTCGCACTCGTTGCACCGGGAAATCGAGCTGGCGATGCAGCCGTCCTTGTCGCACGTTGCTCGGCTCCATTCATGTCTCGATTCTCCTCGGGTTATGCAACTCCGATGAGAGACACGAAGCGAGAGATGCGATGCACCGAGCCGAGCCGAACCGAGCCAAGCCGAGCCGAGCCGTGCTTAGTCGAGCCAAGCCGACACCGACCGCGTCTGAGAGTCAAGGAGAGAACTCGGGTAACTTACCGTCGATGCATCCGCTCGTACAAGTGTTCTCTTTCCTAGTGTAATATCATCTATTATATTCGAATCACAATTCTTCTTTCTTTTTATAAAGATGTTACTCCGAAATCTTTATCCCTCTAGAAACACAAAAGCACATTTGCCAGCATTAATATAATTAAATAAAATATAATAGAATAGAATAATGATATAAAAAAATTCTACTCTACTATCTCAGGTGAAGCAAGGGGGGAGCGGGATTGTTACGGGATACATATATGTAATATTATTGTTAATTCACAGGCTAATTTAAAAGAAAAGAAAGTGGAATGGATGTCTTATATACGCTATATTACACATACGCATATTTTAATTGCACTATCTTTATTGCACATCTTTGTAAATTATTACACCGCAATATTGAATTCGCGATGAATATGTTTTTAATATGCGAGATATAAAGATTCCCGGACGAATTATCAATTTAATTTTTTGAGATAACAAATAGACAATAATTATATCGTCGCCTGGACAATTTTTCGGACACTTAATACTTCTATTTAAACAAATAATATTAATTAAGTTACGAAGGCACGTAATTTTATTGAAAAAAAATATTCATAACCATAGTTCCCAGCTATAAAAATGAAAAGAGTATTAGTCGCGCGATCATGTGCCAACGCGATCCCGTACCGTATAATATTCATGATTAAGGTCTTTTAATTAATATGTTATCGTTCTTACTGATATATAGATTCCGTGTGCAATCAAGTACTAATCGTCAAATTAATAAAGCAGCAAGCAATCATAAATTTTAGCAATTTACCCGAATGTGTGTGTAAAAATTTTACAATTGACTGTAGGTACTAACTATATCTAAAGTACAATATGATATAATCACATGATCCGCTTAATTACATGATTTATTACGAAAGATATATTTCGCTAAAGCACCGTTCGGGCATATGTCGTAATCAACACAATGTTGTACCATCAATGTTGATCGAGATGACTCTCGCTTCTATCATCGAAGCTTTGGCTGATGCTTGTTCGCACTGGTTTAATATAAACCGAGTGTCGGTGGTATACTCTTTGAATAGTAGTGATTGTACTGATTGTCCGGATCGAGGATCGTCGAGAAGATCTGTTAGCGATTCTTCACAACGAATAAAAAAGATTCTTCAGAAAAAAGCCCGATTCACAGTCTTATAAAACGTCAATATCATATAAGCATCAATATTATAAAAATAATACTTAGATTAATTTCAATAAATTAAAACGGCAGTTCTTATCAAATCATCGTGTCATTAAAATTACCATGTGAGAGATGCTTCTCGACATCCACGAAACCAGACGGTCTATCTAACGAAACTAGAGTACGAGAAATATAATTCTAAGCACAATGTAAAGAAACAAGATGTAACATTGCGCACATAATAGCGACAGCATGGAAAAAATCAAAATCAAAAATTGATCCATAATCCAAGAGTGCGTATTTAAGAAAAACGAAATTGTCTTACCGGAGCACCGACAATATTGGCAAGTATATTGCTTCTCATGGTTTGGGATCAATTTCTGATTGCGTCAAAAAGTTTCGCTATCACTTTAACCGAGTGCATATCCATGACAAAGATTTACCTTGCCTTTTACGTCATGGCTTTTTATATACAAACGTGAGTGTATGTCGGCACACACTCGTATATTATCTAATATTTTAGTAGCCTATCGACAGTGTATCAAAATATAGTCTTTATATCTTACATAAATGCACAGTGTCGAGAAACAGACAGCAGTGATTGATCTATAGCTTTCAATTATTGCGAGAATACTCATGTCGCGAAATATCAATTTCGGATGTCGATTTGCGGCGATCGTTTTAATAAAAAAGACTATTACATATCGTGTCATATTAGAGAATAAATATTATATATATTATATAAAGAACCTATAATATTGCGAAATGAGAAAAACCAATGTCCTGCATGAAGATAAAAAGATAAACTTTATATCGATATAACTTATATATTTATAACATTCCTTTCTCTTACTTTCAAATCGTGGAATAGCAACCATGTTCTATGCCATTACTGTGGGATGCATGCATTGCATCAATAATAAATACAAACGTTATATCATTACTAAGATTGAAATATAAAAAGGTTAAACTTTTTAAAAGTTAAAAAAAAACTTTTTTTAAGGGAGAGGGGAATATCACAGAAGTGTATTGGATTTCGCGAGGTGGTCTATTCTTATGTTAATGATAGTAACCTCGTTACGTATTGTAGGGTAAACGTCATATCATTATAAGAATGAAGTTGCACTGTACGCGTACTATGTGATTAGAAAGGGCACATTGTAACGCAATAAATATGCATACAGGTTTATACCTTCCAGGTATAAGAAATGTAGCCAATGATTGCGTGCGCGTATATCGCGCGCCCGAAAGACATTTCGACATTCATATTCTTTTCCAGAGAAATTTACGTTTCACAAAAACATAGATTTGCATAATGCGACAATAAGTCTTTCATTAAAAACTGAATGAATTATGGCAATCAATCGGAAGTATGTAAACGAACGATTTAAGAGCGATTTAGAAAAACGCTGATTAGAAAAATTGCAATAAAAATCTTGTATAATAACAGCACTCAGAAACTTGAGTAATAATACAAGCACGTGTTGGATATAGTATGCTTGTATTATTAAAGCAATGAATAACACCGATGGACATAATAATCTTTAAAAATATTGCATAACAAATATATTGCGGTTCTATTTAATAGCACAAGATATAGAAGAATATAAAAAAATTAAAAAGTGCAATTATATAATGAGACATTAAAAAACAAAACCAAAGTAATAGCTGTATTATATAGGAAAAATCAATGAATAATCTATACATTAATGCATTAATAAATTCCATCAATTGGAAATTGTCGTATAATATTTATACATTACATACAAATTTGTTAAAATATATCTGATAAAAAATTAATGCTCACTCATATCTTTGCGACATATCCTTTATATATCGATATAATATTCTTGATAAAAAAAGAAATAGTTTGGGGAAATTAACAGTTCTCGACGCTGTGCATTGTTTCAATTGCTTTATCTACTTGATAACTAGACAGTTAGTTTTTGCGATTGCATCGATCTTGCAATAATCCTGAAAGATATTGTTCGATGTTCGATTTTAAGTTCAAGCCAGTTGTGTATCTTCGATTCTATTCGATTTTTGGAATCGCGCTAAAGACTAGATACGGGGAAGACGTTTTCGAAGTGAAATGCGTTCTAGGAAAGCAGAAAATATTCCGCTTTAAGAAAATGTACTTACTTTGAGCAGTTAAACAACTTAACTTTTGTTACCACCTTAATCGAACATCGAATCGTAACGGATCAAGATTAAAACGCAATCTCCAATATCTCCGACTTAATCAATATTTAACCGAAATTAAAACTAGTATACAATAATGGTATTTTCGGTTTTTGATGTCATAAATATATATGTTATAATAAAGTTATCTCGTCTCTCACACATGTATTTGTGTGGTAACGATAATGGAAATGTGATAATTATTGTAATAAAAAGGGTGTTTAGCAACGTTACAATAATTTCTTACATTAAAGTCTGTTTCTCAGTAAAACATCAGGAATCATGGAAATATGTCTTGAACTTGATTAGAAATATCTTCTATTTCGCTACTATTCGATTCTCCTGTCAAGTCTTTAAGGATGAAAGACAGTACTTCGACGAATAAAAAATGATGGGTCAGGATAGAAAACATTCGCTCTAGCACTTAATTTTCGACTCTTTCGACAAGACACACTATTGTCCAATGAATATCGCGAGTCGAAGAGATATACCTCCGCGACTGTAAACCTCTCGTTACCGCTACCACATAATTTTTACACGTTCACAAAAGCGTGGACGTACTATTGACTACTTTGTGGACGACGTCTTTAACCTAGGCCAACGTCTAGAGACATCATCACCAGAAAACCGACGATGGCTGCCCAGCTGGCGAGTTTGCCGTTTCCGCTGTAAAAAAAATAAACGCGACGTATTCGATCGCATTAAGATTGCAGAGAATCGCGGGTTTGCGAAATTGCCCGAATAGAGAACTTTGCGACAATATTGATTACAGTCGAACGTCAAACATTTTCTGTTCTCTACGATTTTATTCGGACGTAATTTTGTATTAAAAGTTTTTTTTTACACACTAAAGACAATACAAAACGACCACACATGCATTAAGTTCTTTGTAACTTTTTATGCAGTTTTATTATTGCGTTTTGAGAAAGTAGATTGTGAGCCCTTAAAAAAATTTAAAATTATCCAAAGATACAAGTATCTTTTAGACTTTCTTTGCATGTCTTTTGAATTTTCATCGCATTTGATCTGTCTTGTGCAACATCGCGGTTTGATATAGACGAGATTCATGCTTGGCAAGAAGTGGGAAGGGAATTTTAATTAGCGCAACCGGGGCGGCGCGCAGATCGAACGTAAAAATCGAAGGACGCGATGGACGAAGGGAGGACGAGGGACGAGGGTACGGGGAATTAAAAAGGCGGCACTGGCGCCTTCGCCCACCACTATCCTCGTTGTCTCGCTGCCTACGGCCCCATGGCAACGACCTGGGAGAAAGAGAGGCCCAGGATGGCGAGAAATAAAAGGGTTTTCGCGGCAAGTAAGTAGGGATTAAGCACATACAAAGCACACACTCGTGCCGTGCGTATATACCCCGGTATTGCACGCGTCACGGCTTGTTGATTTCGTAAATTATATACGGCCATCAATTTTAACGGCCGGCGAAACGCGTCGTTGTATTTCGGTGGGCGTTCTACCACATCAATCATATCCGCGCGGTAAGTACCTCCTTTCGGTGTGCCTAAGAAAATTTGTATTTTTATTGGTTCATTATCGTGTCTCACACATCGCAATAGTAGCCGGGATAACAATGTCGCTTCCCGATGTCGTCGATGTTAACGTTGTCATCATCATCGTTTGCTATAAAACTGGGCCCTCGCATGAAGTCGCGTTTCGTATCCGCTAAATAAAAATCGATCCTTGATTCAATTTACTATGTATTTAGCGCAATTCAAATGTTAATTTCTTACAAACATAATAAAATTCTTACGTACTCCATATATTTCTTGCCTTCCTCAAATCTCTCGACATCTCAAAATTATTACAATTTAAATACTATTCATGTTCGAACACTTTTGTTATATTATCGAATATTCTATACACATTAGTTGCATCAATTTTTCATTAATTTGGAATTCTTCTTAATTATCACAATCGAAACTACATAGTTTTGCAGAAGGAAATGTCAGCTAATTATTCGATTATCTCCGGATAAGTGAAAGTTTCGATAAGGCAATAAATTTAAATATCCATATCGTGGAGATCGGCCGCGTCGAACACAGAGCGCGAGTATCATCGGTGAAGCGGGCGTTCCTTTTCGCCGAGCAGAGGAAAATGCAAATTGTGCGAGGGGCGACCGTTCCACGAAACACGCCGAGTCGAGCCAAGCCGAGCCGAGCCGAGCTGATTTTTGCCGGTACTTCTTATTCCGCGAAAGTAACGAAGTCTCGAGAAGATTCGAAAATATATTACTCGTTCTTTCGATCATTTTGCTCTCTTTCGATTTAGGTTGACATTACATTGCGTGCAAGGCCCAGTTTTTATTAAGTAAACGCGAATGATTTTTCTTTGCAGCAATTTTTCCCCGTCTCATAATTTTAATTACAATATGGACACGAAGAAAGTTTTTTTTTCGATCAACAATTAAGTGTAAGTGATGTCGGTGCAGGTTGTTTAATCCATATAATTTTTAATATTTTCTTTAAACAAAGCATGGGGGGATTTGACAAATATGACTCTGATAAGTCAATAATAATACAAATATTTCGAGCTGGACACTTATGACACTTTGGAGATGTATCGTCGTTCCTTAAGAAATGAGGACTTGTTAATAATACACGTATTTCTAAGCGTGTATAAATAAGGAATTTTTATTTCTAAAAGAAGTGATCATAAATATGCTCTTCGAATGTAATCATCATTAGAACTTCGAAGATATTGATGTGTCGACTGCGTTAGCATTAAGCGAGAAGCAAAGTTAGATTGCATGCAGCCTATGCAAATACAATTCGAGATCAAGCGAGAATTTTCTTTCGCGAAGAAGGATTGCATGCGCTCGCGGAGAACTCTTCTTTCGCGGAGGTCGAGCAACGGTTTTCGCGAAGGAGAAGAGGAAGGACGAGGCGAACGGCAAAAAGCGAGCGATCTGTTTTCACTTTTGTGTTTTCCGGCCACCCGGAGGGTTCCCGAGGGAGCGAGTCGAGAACGACTATCTCAGAGGATCCGCGCGCGACGACGAGAGAGGAAAAGTAAAAGAGAGAAAGAGAGAGCGCGCGCTTGGGTATCCGGGCGGTTTAGATCGCACGCGAAATACAAAAGGAGCCAATTATAATGACAATGCGCCTTCTTCAGCTAGGCCGCCGCCGGGCCTGGGAAAGAAATTCGCCACGTCCGTTTCGTCGACGGCGTGCTAACTACGGCACTGCCGTCACGCGCCATTGTACCGTAATCGCTCTCGAATACGGACATCGTAGATATCTATGCGCTTGTGTGCGCGCGTTAATATCTGTATGAATAAATATATATACATATATATTGTATGTGCGTGTCCACTTGACACAAGTAGAAATTCATGGGACATACGCAACACGGATCTTTCCTTCTCATTATTTACGCGTTGTGTTGCTCCGCGTAGTCGTCGAAACGATTTTGCTGATTTCTAGTAGTTTTCGATTGTACAAAATGTTTCCAAGTATTACAGAGTTTGCAATAATATTACAAGTTAAAGTGGAAGCATTATAATTATTTCATTCCATACCGTAGCACTAATGATTATTGCACGACAAATACATAATATATTATGATAAATTAAATGAATAGAAAAGAGAGAGAGAAAGAGAATTAATTTTTAGTTAATTTGATAAATTTCATGTAAATTTAGAGTAGATATTATAAAGAAAATATACAAAAAAGATGTAGATAAATACAAATTTCAAACTATAATTTATCATCGAGGCGCAATTTTTAAATCGATTCTTCGCAGATCGTACTTTTTCATATAGCAATCAGCATCATTTTTTTTAGTGCAGATAATATTGCTGACAAAGAACGACAATATACGAAGATACCGAACGATAACGAGAGAGAAGATCAGATTACTCGTAAGGCGAGAAGTCTGCGGAACGATTGGGTTGGAGAATCGCGTATGGTCGAGAGATCGCCATCGAGCGACCATCCGCGTTCGCATCTCCATTGGCGGGAGAATAAATCCCGAAATAAAGGGTCATTGTGTCGGTGGGAAAAGCGCCTTCCGCCCTTCTGACTCCGAGCCTAGGCCCAGGTTCTAATTCGTTCTGAATGGACCGAGGGTGAAACGTGAGACGGAAACGGGTGCAAGTGCACTGTGGACTGGTGCCTCCGGTACAAACGGTATTTTTAAAAAAAAAAAGGAGGAGAGAGAAAGACAGATGGAGAGGAAAAGGAAGAAGGGAGAGAAGAAAGGATGAGAAGCCGGAACCAGTTAAGGGAACGAGTTGCGTCCAAGACCGTTTGCACGAACTAGCTTCACCCTTCTGTATTCAACATCATCTTCTATGTTTTTTTTTTTTCAATAACACGTGTGTTTTCCGAATAATATCGCGCGCAATTAGTTATCTTTTGGAAATACAATTGCAATCGTCAAAAACGTTCAATACAGGTTTATTACTTGGAATTTTACTTAATTATTCCGTTGATTATATACTTAGGCGCAAATTAAAGTGTGTCATCCACTAAATAAGATAATATCGCTTTTATACATTGTCAAGAAAATTTCAAATATTACAGCGATCTTGAGAATGAGTTAAGTGACCGTTAGTTGTAATTTTGAGTATTGTAAAAAAGAACGCGCAAGTCGTTTAAAATCGTTTAGCAATTTCAAGTTTTCCCGGACAGGTGATTATACGGTACATACCTTTGATGCGCTTCCGGGATGATGTCGTCGATCACGACATAGATCATCGCACCGGCCGCGAAGGCAAGTGCATAAGGTAGTGCAGGTGCGGCGAGCGTTACTCCGGCTGCGCCGAGCACGCCGGCGATAGGTTCCACCATCCCCGAAAGCTGACCGTACCAGAAGCTCTTCAACGTACTAATCCCGGCGGCCTGAAGGGGCAGAGACACCGCCAATCCTTCCGGAAAGTTTTGTATTCCGATCCCGATCGCGAGATTTCTGCAACAAATTTCGAATTTCGAATGTCATTCTTAAACTTTTCGAATACTCGTCATTAATTATAAACAAAAAAATATATGATAATGATAATAACTCCATCGCAGATATATTAACAAAGTCTGTAAAATTTTCTGTATCAAGGAAGAGAGAATCGATCTTTTTAATAGCATTAGAGCGAAAATAATAATAGTAAAAAGTGTATTTTAAATCTTTTATCTATACGTTCAACACGATGTTTTCAGCGAAAGTTTTCAAAAATGTTGTGACATTTCCGTGCACCTGCAGTGAGATTCACCGATTTCACTTCGAGTGTAAGAAATATCCATTCGCGAATTCTGTAAGGTGGAAGCGCAAGGCTGCACTGGCGGATTGCAGCGGTGGTATGCAAAAATAGCAGCGTTCCATCGTGGAATGGGAAAAAGAGAGAGAGAGAGAGAGAGAGAGAGAGAGACAGAAGCGCTTAGCGCGATTGCACGATAAGAACGAAACCAAAGGAGACAAGGTGGCTCCGCGCGAGAATCAACTTGCGCGCACACACACAAACATGCACACATACACACAGGCAGGTACACACACACGTATACACACACCCCGCACCGGCATAGCCGTGAGTTCTTGAAACTGGTCGACGACTTCGTCATTCCCCGGATTTTTCCATCTTCGCGAGCGGAGCAGAGCGCTCGGAGAGCCGCGAGCCTTCCTAGATCCAGCCGGTGTGTACCGCTCGCTCTTTCATGCTTACCGGAGAGTGGCAAAGCTTACTCGACCAGGATCGCCGCTCATAAATAAGATGTCAATGAACGACAAAGTCTCGAGTTTCGCTTCCAGTTACGCAGGCTGTAACGTCTGGCAACGACATAAAATTATGGGAGAAATGGACGCGAATAAATTGATGTAATGTAACGTGTTCATATCATTAACATTAACAATTAATTATTATGATATTAATTGTATGTATGAGTGTGGGATTGGGTGTGTCTATCAACTGGAGGTCATTTACATATAAATGATATAAATTAACATGACTATACATTTAACTGTTAATTAATTCTCAAACATAATTAAAAAAAATATATGTGATTTGGATTTCAAATATAATCAGGATAAAGATAAATCTTTTTTTAAACAAGTAAAAAGAAATGCATTAGAAAAAAAAAACACTCTGTACATTATTCGCCAAAATAATCAAACGGTACGTTAGTGACACGATCGATGCAGAAGGGGACACAGAGTTAGCTTCGTTGCAAGCTCGCGGGACCTCTTTCCTCGACCTCGGTTCATCTCTGTCTCTCTTTTCCGCGACCTCGCGGACCGCCAAGCGTGATCTATGGTCCAAGTAATAGCATGGTAGAATCACGTCGAAGTATGAGGGAGAAAGGCAGGCAGAGCGAGAGCGGGCGAGAAAGAGGGAAGGAAAGGAACAGCGGGAGAGAGAGACGTAACAGGTGAATGAACGACGAGATCGCGTACACAGTCTAACACTCATGCCGGCCCACAAGCCAGCGGGATATCTTGCATATTGCACGCCTTCGTCGCGGAATTCTCCTCATCTTCGGAATATCATCGTGCCGAGCGCTCTCGACCTCGCGGTTTGCCAATCCCGCGACGACGAATCCTTCCATTCACTACTCCGAGCGAGTCGAGATACGCAGGTTGAACTTTTCGAGTTCGAAATTTCGCGGATGAATCGATCGTTGATAGATTGAATATTTTCAGCAGAAAATAGATTGCAGTTTTCTTCGACGGTAATTTTTAAAGTAATTATAATCCAATAATTTTTTTGCATCTTTACAACAGTAAAACGGAGAATTATTAAAATACACGGAACAATTTCTTCGCGATTGTCGCCGAGATAGAGTTTCTTGCTTCTCGAGTGATGGTTAGATTTTCTTCGAAGGTAATTGCAAAATCAATTATAATCCGGCTCTGGAGTTATCGCAATGAATACATCAGTGCTGTTTCTCTCTTTCTCTCTATCACAGATTCAATGAGAGATTCTCAGAATCGACGTAATAGTATTCTTATAAAACTAGAATCTGAGGCCTCGCAAGAATCCCATGGCCGGAGTTGAATTGAAGAACGGGAAACCCGTCGAGAGACCGTTGAGTTAGGGAGACGATCCAATTCTAAGACCTATAAGAAACGAGAAAACGGTACCGGGTTTCATAGAGGAGACTAACTATTCGAATGAATGGCTCGACCGGATCGGACAGAACCGTGCGCGCGAGCGCGCGAAACGAAGAAAAACCCTTCGGTTCTGGTACGTGGAACGCGGTAACGAAGATCTTCCGCGATCTAGCTCCCGTAATTCGATATTCATGAGCACCAGTGCACGCTATAGCGAGAATAATTCGTAGGGCTTAAGAGTCATCGTTGCTAGTAATCATACACATTGCGGCTTGACGAATAATATAAATTCCTGTTCTTCGTGTTGAGAAATATAAATTAATCCTACGAATAATTAAATTTACAATTGCAAGTAGAAAATTATTTTGTATAATTACAATTATTATTTTAAATATATAATTAGCATTTTCTTGCGCAATTCTATGATCATTTTTATTTTTAAGATAATATATTTTTTTTATCTCTACTAAAATATTACAAGCTCCATTTATTTTGTGTGTATGTGTATATAATTACATATTGACTATAGTTCTCCGTTTTTACAAAGTAAATTAAATAAAAATTACACATACACTTAATATTTGAATTGTCACGTCGCTCAGTTATGATAGACTTTTATTGATATAAAGTAATGCACAGCGCCGAGATAACCAATCAGTATCGGAAAAGAGGTAACAATATTTGCAAGTATCGATTTAATATACCTTTTTAATAGTTGATATCTCGATGAGAGCTGCTCACGATATATTATTAGAATATTATATGTGTGTGTGTTATATAAAATATTATAAAATGCGCAATTTAGTTTTTATAAATAATAATAGACAAAAATGATAAAAAAATCTCGATATCTCTTGCAATATTAATTATTTGAGCATAAAAATGTTAAAAATTTCTTTTATATCTCGTGAGATGCTACCCAAGACTCTAAATAAAAAACCGGAACTGTGAAAAAATTTATCTTTAAAATATTTAAAATTAATTTAATATTTTCTTGTATAAATTTAACATTTTGTATATATATATATTGTTATAGTACGCAAAATATTTTTGGCTGCGAATGATCAATAACATGGTATGCGGCCTTGGCGCGGCGTAAACAATAGCGCGCTATTGTTTATGTCTTATGGTCTTGTTATCATTCGCAAGGCGACACTCAAACAGTGAGGTAATAGAGCGCGAGACCTGTCGTCTTCTCTGAGAGAGATATTTCGCGAAGACCAATACATATTATTCCGAAAGCGGGATTATCTTGTCAAGAAAATAAAATTCTTGTCATCTTAATAAAAATGCCCACCTCCAACACGTTCTTGCAAGAATGTTGCCGTTACTATCGCGAAGAATCAATACGCACATTCGCAAAAATGTGTAACCACCGGTTGAATGCAAGCGAATCGGCCCGAAGTAGAAAAAACTTAGGATCGAGCGATCCAGATGTGCAATGCAATGGATTCTTTCGGCGAATCGTCTATCCGCAAACGATCGAGATTTACAAGAAACAATAGATCAATGCGAATGGCAGGAGAGGAACGACAGCGAGATCGGTAGACGATATACGGTGATGAGAGAACGGTAGAGGCAACACAGGTGAATGAATGACGTGATCCGTGCTCTTGCGCACAGGGCGATCATCCAGTATAAGGTGATTCTTTCCTCCGTGGGCGTACACGATGGGAGCGGGCCCTCTCGCACGCGGGCCCGCAGGGTCTCCGGCGAGAGGTATGTCGTGCCGCGACATGTCGCGCGTTATTTCATGCGACGACGGCATCATCGTCGCCGCATTC